GACAAGTTTATCGTCGTGTACCTCGACGATATTCTCATCTTTAGTAGAACTGTAGAGGAGCACGCTGAGCACTTGAAAACAGTGCTAGGTCTCCTAAGACARCACCAGTACAAGGTTAACTTGGAGAAATGCGAGTTTGGTCGCACCAAGATCTTGTACTTGGGTCATGAAATCTCAGCAGATGGACTGAGGCCGGATGATGCCAAGGTGGCCAGCATACGTGAMTGCCCWRGACCTCAAACTATTACTGAGGTCAGATYGTTTTTGGGGATGACGGGCTACTATYGTCCGTTTGTTAAGAACTATAGTACTATAGCTTCCCCATTAACAGATCTAACTCGACTTGACACTCCGTGGGAGTGGACTGAAGAGTGTGAGGCGGCCTTTAGGAAACTGAAGTATGCCCTGATACACTATGAGGTTCTTAAACTTCCGGACCCTGATAAGCCATTTGTCGTGACCACAGACGCCAGCCAATATGGCATAGGCGCGGTCCTTGCGCAAAAGGAGGGGCCCAAGTTGAGACCTATCGAGTACATGAGCAAAAAGATGCCATCTCAGAAACTAGCTAAGTCCACTTATGAGTGTGAGCTCTATGCCCTGTACAGAGCGCTGGTACATTGGAGACACTATCTCCTTGGCAGATTCTTCTACGTGAGATCTGACCATGAGACCTTGCGCTGGATTAAGACATAGCCAGTCCTCTCTGACGCATTGAAGCGATGGATTCAAGTCATAGACATGTATGACTATCAACTTGATCCAATCAAGGGAGAGTATAACAAAGTGGCTGATGCGTTATCTCGCCGGGCGGATTATCTGGGCGCACTAGTGACCGAGTTTGGCATAYCTAGCRATTTGACTCGATCATTGGTGGATGCCTATCAGCAAGATCCAGTTATGTCTGAGATCATCCGTAGATTCCAGGCAAAGGACAAAAGGACTTTGGACGAGTTTACGATGGTAGACGACTTGCGGTCCACTATAACAAAGATGTGTCTCTTTCCAGACCTGCTGGTCACAAGGGTATCCATGAAATCCATAGACACACTCTGACCTGGTCCTTCACGTATCGGCAAGGGCTTGATCAGCCCAAGCGGTGCCTTAGTCCTTGGTTTGTCCCTTTGGCAAACCTGGCAGGTTTCAACATAGCGTTTTGCATCTAGCATCATAGAGGGGCACAAGAATCTTTGTACTAAGTTCGTTGATGTCTTCTTGTACCCAAAATAACCAGTTGCATCATGGCATTCTCCTAAAAATAAACTACRCAAAGACTCACTACTGGGAACGCACAATCTTTTATTCCCTGCCTTTTCAAGAAACAAGTATGCAAGACTGATCACTGTGCCTGAAACTGCTAAAACTGACTATGTCATCAAACTCTTCATGGACAATTGGGTAAGAGTTTTTGGTCTACCTACATCTATAGTCAATGACAGAGATGTGAGATTCACAAGTGAACTGTGGCAATCAACTGCTGAACAAATGGGGACAAAACTCCAAATGACATCAGGGAATCACCCTGAGTCAAATGGCCAGGCAGAACAAATGAACCGAGTAGTACAGCACCTGCTCAGGCATTATATCAAGCCGAGCCAGGACRACTGGGACGAGAAATTACCACTCGTCGCCARCCTGTACAATAATGTTGTGCATRGTACTACAGGTATGTCTCCCAACCAACTGCATCTTGGTTGGAAGCCCCGAACTGCCCTTGACTTTCTGCTACCGGACAGAGAACCTACTGCAGCACCCGGCAGCATAGAGTTTGCTGTTAATTATGAACAGATGCTGCAGCAGGCCGTTGAACATATTAGGAAAGCTCAGGAAGCAATGATTGCATCTGAGAATGAGCATAGACGGCCCTCTAACTTTCAGGTAGGAGACAGAGTCTGGTTAAGTCTGCTGAACTAGGTCAGGAGTTAGGAACGCAAAGCCCCTACCCCGCATCGACGACCTCTTGGATAGAGTGCAGGGATGCGGGTACTTCACCAAGATAGATCTGAAGTCCGAATACCATCAAATTGCTATTAGGCCCGAGGATCAACACAAAAACATATTTCAGACCAGGTACGGTCTGTACGAGTTTGTGGTGATGCCCTTTGAACTATGCAATGCACCTGGTACGTTCCAGCACGCGATGAACAGGATTTTTCATGACTACTTGGACAAGTTTATCGTCGTGTACCTCGACGATATTCTCATCTTTAGTAGAACTGTAGAGGAGCACGCTGAGCACTTGAAAACAGTGCTAGGTCTCCT